ATCCAAGTTGTCACTATTTTAAGTTTACTAGAAAAACTCAATTTCACTTTTTCTTTTAAAGAAGGTTTCTAACTTTATGTGCTTTAGGCACATTTAGAAACTTGGTTAGATTTTAATTTTAAATATAGTTCACTAGGATCCTCAGCAAAATAGATTTGACACAGTGAGTACAACAATGGGCTCAAGTATATCTGAATGGTGAGGGTGGCACAGAATTGTCCAGGATTCACATCCATTGTTTACAGAATCACTATGAGCCCAATTCAGTTACACATAACAGATATTCTGACTAAAAAATAACTGGTATTGTGTGACAAACAATTGTACAGACAAGTCATAAAGTTATTACTATTGTTATTGCAGTTTATACAAATAAATTCTTAAAAGTGCAAATGAGAAATGACTGGGCTCCTTTGCGTGTACCTTACCCAAGCATCCCATGGAGAGCAGGTTGTACGTGTTACCTTTAAAAATGGTTCCATTACCTTGTCTTGTCATTTGGATCATCTTTCCCCAAACAGATTTCTGAAGTTAAGCCCTCTGACTCTTCTGATACTCCTTTTTGGTCCGGTGCTGTACAGCCATCTGAAAAAGCTTGTGATTTCAGTCTCTGAACTGCTGTAGATAATGAGTCTAGATAATATTACCCTTTGTACAGGTAAACTGGAGGTGGGGATACTGGCCATCTATTTGTTCAGGAGGTTATAGATACTTAAAGTCATCATCTTTATACAATGAAGACACTATTAAATTGGATCAGTTTTTAAATTATGTAACTAGTCAGTTGAAAGGGAAGAATAGGTTATAAATCATGGCATTCAATAAATTACTGTATGAAGAAACTGGTTAAAAAGCTACCAGAAATAATCTTAAGGGGAAACTTGCTAAGGAACTGAAATATCTCAAAACATTTCTGCATTTTTCATATTACAGTTCCAATTTGCAATGAATTGAGTTCTTAATTTTGACTTTAAAAAGAAGCAAATTTACTTTTTTGTGTTTCTCCCGAAGTTGACAATATCTCATTGAGCTGATGGACTAGCACAAGCTCCAACTCTTATTTATGAAATGTAAACGATCTTTAAAGTAGGTTTCTAAGGTAAAAGATTAAGATCATGAGTAACAAATGGATGATTCTGTTAGATGCTATCAAGTTGAGTACAACACTTAGAAACCCTAAGAATAGCCAACCTGAACCTTGCCCTGTCCTGTGCCATCCTCATCTCCCAACACTTGAGCCCAGTGCTGAAGTCATCTTGTCTGATGAGGATAGGTTTAATTCAAAACACAGGAATGTTGCAGAAAGTCATGAAGTACATGCTAATGACAGTAGCTTATGGGAGGAGGGTCGTAAGAATCTGGCTGCTCTCACTGATACTAGCTAGCTATGCCAGTATTTAATATTTTATAAAGTTTTATCAGGTTTATTCCTATAGTTTAATTATCTTTTCTCAAGTCTTTAAGTGTAATTGTGTTAATCAGTTACTAGTATTTTATCTCTTCATTTTGGGGTCCCAAAAGTGACATTGTTGAATCAATTTCTCTGCTTCTTGTTAGTCAAAAATTTAAGTCTCACTCATAAAATTAGTGTAAACATTCACATATTTAATAGTACCTTTAAAATAAGCATTGCTACATTTAAAATGGTTTCAAAATCAATCTATAAATGGTAATATAAATTAAAAAATATGAACTTAAAGTAAATAAATTTAACATTAGCTATACTATAAATAATGGTAAATGTATAATGTACCTTTGAGTCATTAAAATGTCTTTAAAAAAAGGATAACAGCATATTACCAGAGCATCAGAAACCGTAGCCATAATTCTCAATCTTTTAACAGTCTGTATTTTCTATCCTTTTGGCCACTGACTTCTTCAATTAATAAGTTAATGCTATAATTTCCAGAATTAAGTCCCAAGTCTTATTTTCAACAGATCTTAACTTTTTCCACTCAGAGTTGAATACATGGCTCTTTTCAAATGAAAACAAATGCTTTTATTTTAGAGATCCATTTTGCGAAGGCTCATTCGACTGAAGGAATCTCTGGGGGAAAAAAGAGGATAATGATTATCAGTAAATAATTTTTACATAATTATTTAAAACATTTTACATGGTTTACGCCCATACAAGTTTCTCAATGTTTTGTCACCTAATTCCTATCAACTTCCAACATGTAGATTTTCATTCTAAATATTGCTTTAAAGATACTTTTTAAAAATAAGCATTTAAAGTACATTAACCACTTTGCAAAGCCCATTATTCTCTTGTTTATTAAGTGCACATACACTGTGGTAAGAGAAAAGATTTCAGGAAATGTCACCTTGAAGACTAAAGTATACCTGACTGATAACTTTTTTTTAATACTAGTTTATTTACAAAATTCGAATACACTGTTTTTGAGAACTGACTGGTATTTTCAATTGTGCAAAACCCAGACAATAAAGACTGAATTCATTGCCTTTGAATTTTTTATTGGCAAAGAATATTGAATATAACATGTACTGCTAGATAAATGAACTCCAATAGGTTTTTAAAGATACAACAGAATGCCCATAAAAATACTAAAACATGGTTTTCATGTACTTGGAACATGTTTCTGATAGGGACCAGGAGAAGGGGATAAGCTTGCTTCAGCAGATAACAAAAAGATCTTCAAAGAGATGAAGTGATAACACTACAACAATAGGCTCAAACATAATTTTGAGGGAGACAGCTTGAATGAGCAGTGTTTTTGTTCTGTTGTACATTATAAGTCATTATAAATCATAACAACATTAAATAACTGGTGGCCTAAAGGCAAGAAACTGCACTGCAATCCAAAGGTATGAGGTTTGAGCCCACCAGGTGCTCTATGGGAAAAGGATAAACAGTCTCCTCCCATGCAAATAAGGGCTTCTGAAAACCTGCCCCAGGGTGAGCTATGGATCTGTTCCAACTTGACAGTACACATTAAACTGCAAATTGGACCTCTTATTCTGGACTGTTAATGCAACTAATACTTAATCATATATTTCTTTTAAATAGTTCTTTCATGTGCTTCAATGCAGTGTTCCTTATTTATCCCTTCTGGGGGGTGGGTGTGGGAGGAAACTGCAACAATGCAAGTTGGGGGGGGGGTGAATGTGCAAAAATAAATTAATGGATACCCAAGTTTTCTGCAAACTTCGGCTAAAGTATTTTTTAAAAACGGCAAACTGGAGGTATTTCTTTAAAGCATTAAATTCTTAAACCAGTGGTACTCCAACCTTCTGGCCCCAAGTAATTTTGCATTCCTAGAATTTGACCCCTGAAAGCATTTGTTCATTTGTGGTGACTTTTTAAATGAACTATTTCTCATGATAACAAAAGCAACAGTTTAAAGTTTTAAAATGTTTCATTAAAAATAATTACTAAACCAAGCCCTCTGTTGCCACTGAGCAGAGTTAGTTAAACTCAGCAGTTCTCCAAGGAGGTGATCCGTCTTTGTCCTGGAGCAATCACACCATTGGCTTTTCAGTTACAGAAATGAAACACATAACGCTATGCTGCACTACCACCCGCGCTTCAGCACAAGGCATACATAACCTACGAAGCTGCTAAGGAAAAGGCCAGTGGTTCAAAGCTACCAAGCAGTGCTGTGGGAGAAAGAATCTACTGTAAAGATTTATATCCTCTGAACCCTGTTGAAGAGTGGCACTTTACATAGTCGGCTGGCTTATTGGAACACTAGATTCTTTTATTCAATCCTTTATGACCTGAAGCACTTCATAGGGACTTCATGAGGAAGTAAGAGTGAAAAGACAGTGTCATGGCATCAAAATGAAATTGGATCCCAGGGATACACTGAGAGGTCTTACGTCAAAGCTGGAGAATAAACCACTGAATCTTCTAGGCTTTGTAAATAAACAAAATGTAAGAATTTCTATTTTTAAAATCTGAAGAAATGTGTACTTTATCTCTTATTGTGTTTTCCTTTG